TCAAACCGATGCTGGGACAGAGTTTACTAATCGTCTCTTTCAACGATAGCTCAAGGAACAAGACATTCACTTCTTCACTACACATAACGAAACAAAAGTATCTATAGGAGAAAAAATTAATCACACTCTTAAAACTAAAATGTGGCGTTATCTTACTCATCGTGGAACTTATAAATATATCACCGTATTAAAACATCTGGTCAGTGCCTATAATAAATCTTTATCATCACAGTATTAAAATGAGCCCAGTAGATGTTAATCACTCTAATCAGTCTGTGGTGTGGAAAACACCTTACAAAACACTCATTAAAGTATAATTTCAAATAAGTTCAATATAGGTGCTCAAGTACGTATTAGTAAAGTGAAGTGTCAACTTAAGAAAGGTTAAATGTCCGCATGGACAGACGAAATATTTACGATTACCAGAGAATAGAGAGAAATCCACCAGTTTATAAACTGCAAGACTATGCGGAAGAAAAGTTAAACGGAACATTTTATGAATCTGAACTACAAAGAGTTATAAAGTCGCTCGATGTCGTCTACGCTGTAGAAGAAATATTACGTGAACGTGGAAATGGTAAAAAACAAACAATATTTTGTAAAATGGAAAGGATATCCTGATAAACTTAATAGTTGGAACCCTCAAACAGATCTGAATCGCCTGTCGTCATATAATGTTATGTATAACTCTATTTCTAATTATTCAACATGGATCAGTTGTGTGTTACGTCACCTAGTAACAGTTATATGTATTATTTTGCTAATAATACTCTGACAAACTATATCACTCATCTTCCGAGATCTATCAACCTTGAAGGATCGTGGGAAGTTGCCTTGGCAGAACGACAATATCTACATAGTTGGCATAATGTACCTAATGGTGCATGATGGATCAGTTTATTACTTACCTCTGATAGTCACAATAAAATAACTTATATTAGACCTGGTCATTACAAAGAACCAGAAGATTTAATTAGAATACTACACAGATTAGACGAGTTATCCTATGAATCCGACACATATCCTGTATTTGATTATGATTCATTCACCATAAAAGTAAGTGTCAATATGAAAGAAGGACACTCTATATTATTTGATCCTGTACTATCTGTAATACTTGGATTTGAGAATAATCATATAATATCAGAAGCCACTTAATATCCACATATTGTTAATATGCATAAAGGAATTTATTCGCTCTATGTTTTCCCAGATGTTGTGGAACCTAGTATTGTCGGTGACGCATATGTGCCAGTGTTACAAATCGTTCAAGTTAAAGGTCAGAATGAGAACGTGATTACTGAAACGTTTACGAAACCTCATTACAGACGTGTATCTAAAAATAGATTTCTGATTATTTAGAACAAGAATGACATGGGTTGTTGTATACCATTTGAACAAGGATGACATGGGTCGGTGTATACCATTTGAACATGGAAGAGTCATCATTGCGCTTCACTTCCGTCGTCGTCATGAGAGTACCTTACAAATAATGACCAGACGGTTTATGACACATGTTACGATTACCAGGTGGGAAATGGGTTACCATATTTTGCAGGTAGTCAATGACAGCTAGGTCATGGTTTAGGAGATGTTTTAATCAACCTATTTCGTTCAGCCAAACCTTTTCTGAACAAATGGGGCATTAGCTTTAGGAAAACAGGCAGTTAAATCAGATATCATACGAGGAAAATATTTTGTAAATGCTGGAAAATGATGAGCAATACAAGGAGCTCGGAATCTGGCTAAAAAAGTTCTATATAATAAAAAGAAGAAACAGAAAGATCCAGTGTTCAGAATATCTAAAGTTAAGAGACGAAGAACATTGACTCCAGACTCAAATAATCATGACTCTCCTACCACAAGAAAAGTCCTGTCAGTGTATAAAATCTGAGCTGGACTTATTTTCTCTCCCTCCCACACAAACAACGATTGAGGAAAGTCGGTGGACTGAATACTATCCTATATCTTCAGTGACCGACAGAGGGCCTATAGAATTTTCTATATCAGGATCAGGGGATGAATATCTAGATCCAGCCCAATCGTATCTTCATGTAAAGGCAAAGATTGTCAGGCCTGATGGTACTGATATAAAAAGGATGAAGATACCTCTACACCTGTAAACTTGTTAGCTCATTTTCTGTTTTCTCAAGTAGATGTACACCTTAATGATAAACTCATTTCTTCGTCTCACAACCTTTACGTATATAAGGCCTACATAGACACTTTACTAAGTCACAATGGTGGAGCTAAGAGAAGTCATTTGACATCATCCATGTTGATAAAAGACACAGCAAGTAATTTTGATTATCTCGATTTTAATGATGGCGAGAACGATGGAATCAACGATCGATACATAGATACACGTGGTAGTCAAACAGTCGACATAATCGGCCGTTTACATTCGGATATCTTTTTACAGAACAAGTTCTTGCCTAATGGTGTAAGTTTAAAACTCCGAATCATATGAAGTAAAGATTCGTTTTGTATTTTGTCAAATGATGAATCGGGATTCAAAATTGTACTACAACATGTTTCCTTCTATACTAGAAAAGTCAAGATCAGCCCGTCAGTCCTTCTGTCACATGCTAAAGCATTTCAGAAAGAAACAACTAAATATCCTTTGAAATATATAATGTGTAAATCGTTTTCAATTCTTCAGGGAAACTTACAGGCATCTATCGATAATGCGTATTTAGATTAAGTACCTACACGTCTTGTTATAGGATGTGTTGATAACGATACATTTAATGGATATTGGAAGAAACATCCGTACAATTTCAAACATTGCAATATCAATTTCGTGGCAATCATCCTGGATGGAAAACAGATATCCCCCCTCGACCTTTACAGTCAGATTTTGAAGATGAGTTGTATGCAAGAAGCTATGAAACATTATTTAGTGGAACTGGAAAACAATTTCAATATCAAGGAATTGATATAGGATATGACGAATACTCGAGAAGATATACAATCTTTTCCTTTAATGTTATAATGGATCCATCTGCTGGAGATTCTCAATTTAACTTGGTGAAACAGAGAAATTTAAGAATTGAAATACGTTTTGGAAATACCTTATCTAGCACTATGAATGTTCTAGCATAAGCAGAATTTCAGTCAATTTTTAAAACTGATCAGTCTAAAAACATCATAACAGATATCTAAGAAGGTATGAATACGTTAGAAATTTATTCAATACTTTCACAGGATTTGTGTACGTGAAAACAATTTGGAGGTGTGTTTTGATCAACTACCTGACCATGCAGAAAAACAATTATACATCGTCAACCTGGATCCTAAGCATAAATCTGGTAGTCACTGGGTCTGTATTTATCTTGGTCGAAATGAAAAAGGAGAATATTTTGATTCATTAGGACTACCTCCACATAATCTTAACATTAGAAAAGTCATCAAGAAGAACTGTCGAACGTGGACTTACGACCAAAAAGTACCGCAAGGACCATATTAATCTGTGTTTCGACAATATTGTATATATATTATGCATGTTATTGTTGTCAACAAGTGTAAAAATGAAAACTCCTATCAAAATTTGGATCCCACAAAGATAGTAATGATATGTTTATTCATGATTTTGTTGTAAAACGTTTTCGTTTAAATACATCCTTAATAAATGTGCCTTTTAATGTAGATCAGATTACAAAATCTTTATTGTGAGAAAATATATTATTAAAAATAATTATTGTGTCCAGATTTTATATTGTAATAATATTACTGAAAATCTTTAATCGCTTGAGTAAGTTTTAATTAAGATATAATCCTTATAAGACGAATTAATTAATAAATTCTTGTTGATACATATATGAGACATCCTCTAGTTCGTGGAACTATTACGTAATCAACCATTATGGCGGCCTAGTAACACGCCCCCTAGTACTATAGAACATGTAGCGCCATCTGGTGACAATCTATGACAACATGGCGACCTAGCAACGAGGAATAACGACGCGCCCCTTGGTGGCAAGAAATATAACTATGATTTTGTCATCTTCGATGACGACACACAAACACACATGGCGCCAAAAACTGGAACTATGACATCAATGATGACATCACCCCCTCTCTCCCCCTCCACTGAGGCAGCCAATCAGCACGTACGTCCAGAGTGAGGCCCTTACTATTCACCTGTTTTAAGCTAGTCAATAAAGTAGAAGGGTATCATTTGAGATAAACAGAAGATTGAACATTTTAGAAGAAAATATTTTTGTATTTACTTTGAGCTTATAAGAAAATACAACTCATTTATAAGAACAATAAAAGTATTGAATGTAAACAAATACCTTGTTTTAATCACTTTCAGTACAAGTCATCAGTCATAAGTATTTCTATCAAAACACCATGATATTTATCTCTGTGCTATGAAATACAAGGAAATAGGTGGTTTGTAAAATTAAAATTTCAACAATAGTATCACAAGGCATTCTCGTAAGCTTAACAATCGCTCAGCCATGATTAGCCATTAATTTGTTTCATCTTTCGTCTATACAATAACTTGTTACATAGGTAAAGGTTAACTGTTTTAAAGTGTAGGTGATTAGTTTTATATTTTGCTTAAGTTAAAACAAAACACAATATAAAATTTTATGTAACAGCTTATATGATGTACAAGCTTGAGTGTATCGCAAGTCATGCAGTACAAATAGATTTGACACAATGTAATAATAATGTTATCATGATGTACAGAGTTGCATGTAGAACAAGTCACGCACTAAAAATAAATTTGACACAACGTAACAATGACTGAATATATTATTATAATTTAAAGCCACATATGGCACTGGAAAATGTTAGCAGTATATATCTCCCTAAATAAAAAGTGTAGTGTTGCTAGAAAAAACAAAACTGTTTATGATACTTGTATGTTCATTAATTTCGAATTTAATGTACTGTTTTCATGGTTATAACTTTTCATGAGAAGGAATCATTCCTTTTAATGGATATATATTTAATTTTATTAAATAAAATATCCCCATATACTCTTTAGGAGAACATTAATAATTCATTCAGTAAATTAACAAGTTATTTATTTTTGTGAACATTTTCGCTTTCTCTTACGTAAATACTAACTTACTGATCTAAATACAGCATAACTATCTAATAGGTCTTCCTATACAAGCATGTACTAGAATAAATGTGGACATTTCACTAATTAAAAATAATATTAAATTGTTAAATTAATACTTTCTTTTCGTAAAAGTCTAAGGAATTAAGATATTAAAAATATTTCATGTTCACGAACTGGAATCACAATTCAACAATTATATATATAGACAAAACACAAGCAGTAAAATTATCTATAATGAACTGGTAAGTTGTTGAAAAATTCACCAAAGGACTATCATAGGCTTTTCTTCTAAAAACCACTAAGAGACCCACACATCAACCCTCCATTCATACACTATACACTAATGAGACTTACCGAACTAGTAGCGGTTTTATTTTAATGAAAAATACAAAGAACAAACTAGTGACATAGCCATGCATATAAAAACAGGACCAATTTTGCTCACCTTTATTGGTTATACTAGTGATTTTTATCTGAAGAAAAGCTGCTCGATACCTTGTATGCCAATTTGTCATAACTTTATTACTCATGTCTTGTCTGTTTATTGTTCATTTCTGATTCAAATTCGCGAACATGAAGTATTTGTAATATTTTAGTTCCCTAGACTTTTATAAAAAGAATTTATCAATTGATTTTAATAAGGTAAATATTCCCATTTACACCAGCACATTCTTGCATAAGAAGATTACATAACAATACTATTTGATAATTATGTGGTATTTAGGTCAGTAAATTGTCACTAAAGTAAGAAAAGGCGAGAATGCTCACAGGAATAACACTGCATTAATCGATCCGATACTTCCAAATAAACGTGCGACATCACCCGATTTTAAACAAACTTGCATATTTTCCTTTCTTCCAAATCCCTTTGGCTCTTGTGACAAAACTAGTTCCTTTGGGTTGAAACACATTGGACCTTCAACATAGTCTGCCTTTCTGTATTCCTTTATCGTTGGTTTTGGTATGTTCAGACGTCTGTCTCTACCACACCTGTTGTACTTTATAACGTGTTTCCACTTCTCTTGATCGTTGCTCAAGTCTAGATGAGTATAGCTGGCTAAACTTCCTGGATCCATGTAGAATACAATGACGGCAGCTCTATTAGAATAGTTTTTATGTTTCGCCCAGTCTAGTGCATATTCAATTTTTGACGTCATGTAAAATCCATCTTTGTGTGAAAAATCCTGACAACGAGAACCCTCATTTAACTGTATACCATTTTGGATAATTTTATCTGCATGATTATGAGAAGTTCCGTGGAAGAAAAGGCATTTTTCGTTCAATGATTTAAGGTGATCCCTAACTTGCTGTGGTAGGTTACACGGATCACAGTTGGTCAGGTTGATATAGTTGACATCACCTTCTAGGGCATCTTCATCCGAATCGTCTGTGTTGTCTCTTGAGACAGTCACTTTTTGCCATTCATCTACTATGTTCGGGTTGTATGGATACCGACTAACGTTATTAAGCAAAATGTCATAGCTGAACATATTGTCAATGTAGGCATCCACCCAGTAGAGAAGTGACTGATGGTCTTGATATGGATTTTCTGATAGCCATTTCTTTAAGAGAAATGACCGGCTATCGGTAAATCCAAGATGTTTCAGAGCATCATCCAAGTTTTCACTCTCTGGATTAATTTCAAAGGAGTTATTTTCTACAAAATTATCAACCCAGTATGTGTCTGACTGATGATGACGTATGTATGGTGGCAGTTTTCTCAGATGATCTGCAAAAGAATCATTCATTCCTAGCACCAAACTGAGAACGTGTTCTGGAAATACAATAACATCATCATGAACCAGGTGATGCAATTCTTCTGGGTTCATTTGATTGATGATTTTATGTATAGATCTTTTTTCTTCATTTAATATTGAAAACTCTACTAGTTTAGTGTGTGTAAGAGTTGTATAGTGCAAAAGCACTTCCTCCAAAAAATATGTATACTTAATCAAATGTTCCTTAAGATCTCGAAGCTTATTTATACGTTTCTCATTAAGTTTCATATTTTTGAGACAGACTTTAACAACTTCCGAAATAGGTGCTGGTGGATATTCTAATGTTTTCTCTACAAACTCTATCAGCTTGTTGTTGTAAAGAATTACGATTCCCAGCAAAATTATAGCATCCTTTAAACTTTTACCTGGAACCGAATATTTTGTTGTTTCATCTGATAATTTGTCACGATTCTCATCATAGTGAGGTGTGGCACTTGCAAGATTTTGAGTTTGGGATGGTGGTGCACAAGCAAAATCCTGTTTAACTGGAGATGCCACAGACCAAAAACCTTGTATAGTAACTACAAAATTTATGTTCATTTCAAAGGTATCTTGTGAAGGAACTTTAATCACTGGAGTAAATGTTTTTTTTGTCATTTTTTCATAATAAATCTGTGTCTCAGGGAACATTCTTTTTAGGTATTGGTCGAGAGTTGCATCCAGTCTATTAGACGATGAGTCAGCTGGTAATGCAGGTAAAATTGCATTGGGATAATTTATTAGTTCTCGTCCAAATGGGTAGGAAGAGAGTGTATTTCCCATGATAAACCTGTAATAACATAATATAAAGTATATTTTAAAGAAGTTTCAATATGAATATGAAATATCAATTTTGTACTTGGTCTGACCACACATAATAGTTACCTTTAGTTCATTAAAATAGTTTTTTGTTGGTGTTGATTTTCGCGGAAAGCTAGCCATCTCAGATTTTGAATGAATAAACTAGAGAGGGTGAGCCAACTCTTGGGCTACTATTTACTCAGAAGTTGGGTTGAGTATCACATTATAAGGACGAACAGGTTCAGTGGAAAGATTAGATTCTGCAACCCACAGGTTCTGAATCGAGAGGCCTAACCATTAGGCCATGCTAAGCCCCAGTTAAATGTAATTTATTTTGTGGAACTATTGCATAATCGTCTTCCATATAGGTCTATAATCATTTCAATAGAGGGGCGTTGCTATGGTCGCTTTGCTAGGCTGACATGATATCAGAAACGATGATGCACACCTCATGTATCAACGTGTTTCAACATGACTAAAATTAATACAATCGTTAACACTAATTCATTAGTTCTATATTTAATTACATTTCCTGACAATTTATATTTAAAACATCCAGAAAAATACGTTTATTTCAATATCATGCAATAATTTAAAATTTACTGTATCACTAGTTTGAGTTTATGCAATCCATATAACTTGAAAAAAGCCCCACAGTGGCACAGCAGTATCTCTGTGCACTTACAACGCTAGAAACCGGGTTTCGATACCAGTGGTGGACAGAGCACAGATAGCCTATTGTGTAGCTTTGTGCTTAACTTCAAACAAACTTGAAAAAAATGTTTCATTTTACACATGATACTTTATAGTTTTACAAGGGTGGGCATGCTATTATACTTCCACATATGATTACGTCATTAATGTCTATATTTGATTATGTTAAAGCCATTATTTAACGATAATCTTACTTTTCATAGGATTTTTAACAAATATGCTGTTATCCATTATTTGAATGAAGTCACAACTTACGTTTTTGTTTTTAATTATATATATTTATTTGTATTACATGTATTTTACAAAGGTGGGCAGTGTTACTAAGGATTGTATACAGATTTCGACATACATGTAATTGCGTATGTTTGACAAATAAAAGGTTGGTTGAAGTGTGGATAATAATGACATCAGTATTTCCACGATGGTTTTATACATTATATGTGTGTGACCACTTGATGGCCTTTGTAATTCTTAAAAGTCAATGTCCAGATTGTATGCATGTGATTTCCTAATAGTGTCTTAGCATTAGACAGTATCAAAGTTTCGTGCAATTTGGCATTTTAAATAATGGTAAAATTAAACAGTAAGTCGTTCATTTATTATATTTAATTGTAAGACAATAAAAGTAAATTATTGGTTATAATAACTGTATCATTCAAATAATATGTATGTTTTGCTTGTGAAAGCGAAACAGTAAATGTCCTACAGAACATTGTCTGAAAAAAGCTATGAACAGCTTAGAAATGTATTCCATACTTTCACAAGATTTGTACATGCAAAGAAGTTTGGAGGTGTGTTTGCCAGTGATCAGTACTAAATAGCGTTAGACAGTCTCAAAATTTTATACAATTTAATCTTCAAGTAAATGTTCTAAAGAAAATGGATAGATAAACAGTAAGTCATTCATTTATTAAATTTTAGTTGTAGCAAGTTGTATTAGTACAGATATTAAATTATGCAAAATAGTGGTTTTAACTTAATTAAATCTAGACATTGATGACATAATCACATGTTGAAGTATAGTAATCTTATCACAGCATATTTGTTAAAATCCTGCAGACAGTCATTAAAATAATGGTTTTAACATAATTAGATACAGACATTGATCATATGTGGAAGTGTAGTGTCCACCCTTGTAAAACTCATGTAAGATAAAATTATAAGTATCACATGTAAAATGAAATATTTTGTCAAGTTATAGCATTAAATCGGGCTAGTGAAAGTGTAAGTTTAGTTATTCCATAATATCGAAGAAACTTTTTATTGATGACATATTGCATGTTGAGACACGTTGAAACACAATTTGCTTTAGTAACACATATATATGTAGAACACCATCCAACTTTGTAAACCATGAGATAAAACTATAAAGTATTCTGCATAAAATGAAATATTTTGTCTTGTATATTAAATAAGCGTAGAAAATCTTTGAAATAATCACCTGTTTCATAATTAAAGAGTCAAACAGTAAGTTTAATTATTTCATTATATCATTCTTTCAGGATGATTTAAATATAAATGGTCAGAAAATGTATGGAGCTAATAATTTATGTTAAGCGTCCTTTTTCAGGACATAAAAGTGGTCAAAAAATGTATACAACTAATGAATTAGTGTTAAACATCCTATTTAGGACATATAAGTGGTCATGAAATGTATAGAACTAATAGATTCGTGTTATAAACTGATTTTATTAAATATAGTCATGTTGAGACATGTTGATCAAATTTATGCTAGCCCCCAATTCGTTTAGCTATGACGTCATGGCAGCCTGTCATGGCGGCCCAGCAATGCGTCCCTAACAACGCGCCATCTGGTGACAATTTATAGAAGTATAGGATCATGGCCATCTGTCCTGGCGACTTAGCCATGCAGTCTCTGATGACACCTTATGGAACTATGACGTTATTGTCTTTGGTTACATCTCCCCCCCTCCCTGAGGCAACCAATCAGCGTGAGGTGACATCCGTTGGATGCTGGAGAACAGGGATAACTACTTGTGATCACGTGATGATATTTGTATTTTCTAACAGTCAAAGTTTAGCTAGTTTGACTTCAGTGTCCACACAAAATATGTTATAATGGTTGTGTCATTGACTTTTGAACACGAAACAGCAGGTATCCTATGGAATATTGTCTGAAAGAAGCTGCGAACAATTTAGAAATTTAATTGATTCTTTCACAAGATTAGTGTATATGAAAGATTGGCTTGGTTTGTTTTGAATTTCATGCAAAGCTTCATGAGGGCTATTTGCACTAGCCATCCCTAATTTAGCAGTGAAAGATTAGAGGGAAGGCTGCTAATCATCACCTCCCACCATTAACTCTTGGGCTACTCTTTTACCAATAGTACGAATAGTGGGATTGACTGTAACATTATAATGCTCCCACGGCTGAAAGAGCGAGCATGTTTGGTGGAAGGGGCAGTCGAATCCATTACCCTTAGATTCTGAGTCAAACGCCCTAACCACCTGGCCATGCCAGGCCTACTTGAAAGAATTTTGGAGGTGAGTCTGCCTGTGATCAACTACCTGATCATGCAGAAAAACAATTATACATCATCAATCTAGATCCAGTTCATAAATATGGTAGCCAATGGCTCTGTATTTACATTGGATGAGGAAGGGGAATATTTTGATCCATTAAGACTTCCTCCACATAAGAAAATCATCAAGAAGAACTGTCGAATGTAAACTTACAACAAAAAACGTACTGCAAGGACCGTATTCGTCTGTGTGTGAATGAGTGAGAGTGAGTGGCCAATATTGTATATAATATGCTCATTATTGTTGTCGACATGTATCCAAGAAAGTTCAGTCCTCAATGATTTATTAAAAAATGGCATGTGTTATTATTCTATGATAGTGATTAATTACATTTATTATGTAGAAAAATGATTTACAAGAGAGTTTATTAAGAAACGAAAACTACATTCTGTACGTTAATTCATTCACTATTTATAAAAACATCAGGTATGATAAAATTCTTTCATGACAGATAAATGTAAATTATTTGTAAATATGTCCTTAATAGGTGTCTTTATATGTGGATCAGATCGCAAAATCTTTATTGTGAGAAAATTAATAAATTGTTAAAAAGAAATATTGTGTCCAGATTTTTTTATTATAATCATGTTACCGAAAATCTCTGAAATAATAACTTGATTTGTCATTAAAGAGTCAAACAGTAAATTTTAATTATTGCACAATTTAAGTATAAATGGAAAGGAAATGTATAGAACTAATTAATTAGTGTTTTATACTTACTGTGTTAAATATGGCCATGTTAAGACATGTTTATTAAATTTATGCACTCTCTGGTGACATTTTGTGGAACTATGACGTCATCCTCTCTGACGTCATGGCTGCCTAGCAACATGTCCTTTGTTTCTTGGTAATATTACGTAATCGTCCGTCATGGAGGCCCAGCAACGCGTCCATAACAATGCGCCCTCTGGAGACATTTTGTGGAACTATAACATCATCGTCAGCTATGGCTGCCTGTCATGGCAGCCTAGCAATGCGGCCCTAGCAACGCGCTCTCTGGAACTTATGGAACTATGACGTCATCATCTTTGGGAACATAATCATCTCCCCCTATTGCCCCACTGAGGCAGAATTTTTTTGGGTAGTCAAGTGCTGCCCTAACTACTCACGTGTCCAAGGACTGATGCGGATGTCAAAAAAGAATACATCTGTGAACCTAAAACAAGTCTTTCTGTGCCTGTGCTTCTACTGTTTATAACTTCTGCCTGTTCAATGATGGTTTCTATGATGAATTGATCCATTAATTTAATATATGGAACCACAAAACCAATTTTTAACTTATTCCAGTTTAAAATAAATTAAAGTGAGTTATTTCACTTTAAATCATTTGTAATTAGTTTAGTCATTTCCATAGCCATTGTTCTCGTTGGTTGAGTAATACTTTATTACAGTAAGCTAGTAAATTTCTCTACAAACTGTTATAATTGAGAGTGTTAAAATACAAGAGTCATACTGGCAGACATTTTCCCCTCCTCTTTTCGTGAAATAGTGAATATAAGCTTATTGAAAGTTATTTTAAACGATGTGCAATTTCCTAAACGTTATTTGCTATTTTGGTAACTAGAAACCCTGTTGAGTTCGTAATCGTTTATATGATCACATTCGAATACTTTTAATACCAGTATTCCTACTTTATTAGAGAGTTAAGCCGGCCCGTCATGGCCAGGTGGTTAGAGCGCTCGACTCACAAGCTGAGGGTCGCGGTTTCGAATCCCGTCCCACCAAACATGCTCACTCTTTTAGCCGTGGAAGCATCATAAAGTGACGGTCAATCCCACTATTGGTTGGTAAAAGAGTAGGCCAAGAGTTGGTGGTGGGTGGTAATGACTAGCTGCCTTCCCTTTAGTCTTACGCTGCTAAATTAGGGATGGCTAGCGCAGATAGCCCTCGTGTAGCTTTGCGCGAAATTTAAAAATAAACAATACAGGGTAAAGAAGTTCTTCACCCAAAGTGGTTTGAATTATTTTATTAACCCATAAAATTACTGATGGGTAACCAAAGACACCATAGGTATTGCAATTAATCCTGCTAATTGTTGTTGGTGTTCTTATACATTTTACATAACAATTTAATTTAGTTGAAAATGATGGGTTTGATACAACTTATAGCTGGAGAACATATAAACGTTGTGACATTGATTAGATCTCAAAATTATAAAATAGTTATGTAATACTGGAACAGATTAAAGTACTTTATAATCAGAAATTTTCATGTAAAGTTTTTAACTGTTTACTGTAGTTCTCGCGTCTTTAGTGTTTCTCAAAATTTCTTAATTAGCGTTTTGAGCATTTTAAAAAACAGCTTTCATACTAGAAGTTTTATAGAATATCATAATGTCTTTGTATGCTTATTTTAAGCATTTATTTCATCAGCTGCTTTCGGTTTTTTCATGACTTGGCGGTTATGGCGCTCAACTCGCGATCTACGGGCATGGATACGATTCCCATCAGCGAATATTCTCTCCCTTTCAGCCAAGGGAGAGTTATAATGTGACGGTCAATTCTACTATTCGATTAGAGTAACCCAAGAATAGACGGTTGACAGTCGGTCCCCTCAGAATTAGGGAGGGTTAGCACAAATAACTCTTCAGTTGCTTTGCAGAAATATTCGAGAACAAACAAACTTACTTTCCAAGTAATTTGTAAAACTTCATTTGGCATCTGTTCTGAGTTCATAAAATTTATTACTTAAAGTACGTAAATATATTCCCCAAAAATTAAGTAAAATTCAGAATTTTGTATTTTTTTGCACAATCGTTGTAAGATGAGAAATCACGGAATTTCTCTTATATACGACCAATAATAAAGATAAAAAGTTTCTCTGTACATCATTCATATCTCCCCAAAAGATGTTTTCTAGACACTTTCTTTAAACGCAGAAAAAATGTTGCTCATTACACTTTTAACCCATGCTCATAATCCTTTATTAAATGTATTACCCTAAATTATTTCAAGTATGTTTTAATAGTATGGTGTACGAGTCACGCCCCCAGTGGCACAGCGGTATGTCTGCGGACTTACAACGCTAGAAACCGGATTTTGATACCCATGGTGGGCAGAGCACAGATAGCCCTTTGTGTAACTTTGTGCTTAATTACAAACAAGCAAACAATGTATGAGTCACTAGTCTTTTCATCTAAGTGAATTTAAAATATTGTTATTATTGTAATTTTCGCTTTCTTTCAAACCATTTCATTGGCTTGTCAGTTAATTCTATAGTTCAAAAGTACTACTGATTGCACAAATAATCAGGAATTTTAATGTAAAGTTTCTAGTCTGTAGTGTTTCTCAAAATCCCTAAAGTAGTTGATTGTAATAATTACAAGCATCTTTTTTTATATGCTATTATAAAACGTTACACGTTTGAATTACTTATCTATGTTAATTGCGGGTGAAAATATTCATACATTTTTTTTTTTTGTTACTGGCAAATTATTGTTTCTTAGTTTCGAGGGCTATTTGCTGTCCTTAATCTTGAAGTAATAAGAGTAGATCGAAAGCAGCTAGTTAACACCACCCAGCGCCAGCGTGAACGGCAATATTTGACCGTCACTCTTATAACGCACTTACGGCTTCAAATTGCGGAGCGCGGTTTTTTCTTTTTTTTTTGGGGGGGGGGGCAGTAACAGGCGCAAACCATGAATCCTCGGATCTATTGTCCGAAACAATAACAAATAGCTCGTTACTGGAAAATTATTCTAACGTTAAATCGGAGAGAAAGTTATGTAGTTTATGTCAAACACAACTACTTATCATAGCACTTCTAAAAATATGGTGAAGCTATATGCACATATCTGGAAAAAAAGGTATCAACAGTGAAAATATTACAGTAACTGCTAAGCAAATGTCAAGAAAAATGAATACTAATTAGCTATATGCTTACCGAAAATAAAAAAAAATATATATGTATCACATTACACATGGCTAAATGTGCAAATTAGCCAACTAGAGTTTTATGGTTGTATGGTCAACTGTTTTGATTGTCTCTATTGAAAAATAAAAATTAACACAAACTTGACGTAATTAAAAATAACAACATTTTGAATGTCTAGTTTTGGTTTTGGTTCTGGAGGGCCAATTTCAGTTAATAAAGGTGTTAAACCATTACAGCTGTTTCAATCCTTTACTGAAGGTATCTTATCAAACATTGTTTCTGAAGTTCTAGTTGTCTTACTTAAACACTAATGTAAATATTAATCGTTTTAGGAAAAATTTAGTAATTCTTCGGAAATAACAAAATGGCGTATACCTGACTGATCCAGTGACGCCGAAACCTGTATTAACAATAACCGTAACCTCCTACAAGTATGAGCCAACGAAGCAATCAGTAGTGCGATAACACAACTGAAAAAAAGTGTTTCATAACAATTTACGATAACAATTCACTACAGCTACCAAATAAAGGTTACATCTCATTATAACAGTTACAGATAGAAATAAACTCACTTGATGTATGCGTGTCTTTTATGGGTTTACATTATTATTTCACAATTTAAATTACTTTAGATCTTATATTTATATATAATTGAGAAAACAGTAGCATGCGTTGTCATCGAGGTAATGATATTAGTTCTTCTTATGCAAAGGAAAATGGGTTACAAGTAGTATTTTTAAAATGACGTTACCATTTGCTTGTTATAATAAGCCTTCAGACTTACCGCTGAGCCACTGGTGGTGGTGGTGGTGGGGGTCTTGATCTCATAATATGATATACCGATCTTATGAATCAATTAAACATTTAGGTATTTCGTGATATATGTACTTACACTAATCTATCTGAGGTTTGTTCATTACGAAAAAGGACATAGCAAAAGAAAGTGAAACTTACGACCCCCCAGTGGCAGGCAGAACATAGATAGCCCATTGTGTAGCTTTATGCTTAATTTCAAACTAACAAATAAAACTTATGATTGCTTACGTGTTTATGCGTTTTTAATCTAGATTAATTGGCATGAAAGTTCAATCAAATATCAGGTGGTTCTCAAATTTAAACAGCTTCTAGGGAATGAGAAGTTTAATAGGGTATACGGAACATTGTTATAAGTAGGAGGAGGGGTAGCTTTTGGATAGCTAGGTTATTTAGTTTATCAAACAAATGAAACTGACTTTTTTTTAGAGACTAAGTATAATAAAATTGTTAAATGTTAATCGTTGTATGAAATGCTATCATTTCCAGGATTTTAATAGGGTAATTCTTTTATTACTAACGACTTTCACTATACCTACTTTTAGTTTCACTAAGCCTTCTTGATATGTTTCTAATGTTGTTCTCGTTAAATTAAATTTACTATAGAACAGTAGCCTAAATATATAACTCGCAATCTATCTATTATGTTGGTCGTGGAGCCACAATATGATTTTGGGGATTTAAAATGTTTCTTATGATTTCACGTCTTCCTAAATGTTTTCTAGGTTGAATAATAGATATAAATTGTAGTAATTAATACGTAAATAATGGGATATTAGCCATACAAGAAAATAAAGTATGAGAAGGCTACTATATCCACCTAAACTGATAGCAGACTCAAGCAACCTAGCGAGAGAAGTCAGGAAAATCTGGATAGCCTTCTTGAAATCATTCAACTAGTCAGCTGATTCAAGTTCTAATTCGGGAGATTCTGGACCAGTGGATAGCACGTCATATTTACTATCAAGAATACAAAGAATCTAATAATGGCCCTTACCATCACGAACAGTTATCAGGACTTAACTTAAGGCGATAGCAGATCAGCAGCCAAATACGAAATATAAACTGATCAATATCTTGTAGTAGTAAAAGATATAACTAATTAATAATTAGACTTAAGAGATCATATAGGCAACTACTTACCTTGATAACAACTGAACATTGGTCCTTATAATGACATTTTGTAACGACCCATTTTATAAAGAAATTATATACATTACAATAATAATTACTATTTTTTTCTGAAGAAGAAGAACGTTTTTTTTTGTTTGTTTGTTTTTGAGATAATGAGCCTGGTGGGGATTTTGCAAAAAAAATAATAATAATAAAGTATGTGTTTTCATGTTATCGTGAATTTTGAGTTTCTAGCCAAATTTACTGTTATATCTTTCCATATCCGATCCCTACTGCATATAATAATGTGTATACAACGCTGAACACACAACGTAAGACAATACTGACGACAATGGTGCTTTATTTACGTTTTTAGTTTACAGAGTAAAATAAATTTTGGAGAGATAGCAATTAATCATAGTACACTCATTCGAAAAATGGCTATACATACTTAACAGTATAAGTTATGTACATTTCTGAATATAATTTAATATCGATATTAAAATAAATGTATAATAATAAATCCGTCACACATGAATACAAAATAGTCGTAATATTTTCTCCAGATAATAAATTAATTACATACTTAACAATACATTTTCTATAATTTTATTATATATATATATATATTTTACTTGCGAAACTCCCACCTATTCTCTAAAGTTGTAGAAGATCATCGAGTGTAAGAATCAATAATATATGTGTGTGTACGTATACTCTAGTGTTAGCGTCAACATTGTTACGTAAACTGAAGTTTCGAGAAACTCTCCATACGCCTATAAATATAACCAACACGACACGCCAAAAAATAATATCTTTATTGGTTTGCTATTGTTTGTGTGCTATAAACTTCGTAATTTATAACTGTGATTAACGCTTATTAATCGGAAACTTCAGAAATATTGACCAGGAACGATTATAAATTTCGAACATTACAAACCATTCAACTTCAATGGATTCACATCGGACATTAATACTTTTACGAAAACATTACCTAACGACACCGGTAGGAAAAATCGGCGTGTGATCACTGAAGACACAGAGCTAGCTAGCTCCCTATTAAGTGAATTGTACCTACATCAACTCGAAATTAATTCGTTCATTGTGAACCCTCGATAAGATATCAAGGAAAGAAGACTTTATATTGCATGTAAGTTTGTAAAAATCATTGTTTGTAATAACTATTTATGATACCTGTCATTGTAAATTGTATTATTGTTTGTGTATTAAAATATATTTGTAGTAAAACAAAAGAAAACTGTGTGTATCAATCTTGTTGGTAAATATCATAAATTGGAGATATATATCAGCATTTATTTAACTAATAAATTTAAATTATCATTTAGCTTGGTTTCAGAACATTCGAAATTGTAATACGTAACACATGCCAAAGCTCCTATACAGTAGTTCTCCTAGTTTTGAACTACTGACCAGTCAGCAGCATTCTGCCACCCACCATCCACTCTAACTGACTGACTGTCTCTCTTATAACGCGCCCACAGCTTAAAGTGCGAGGATATTCCAAAAAAAATGACTTTTTGTAAGCGCTTGATAAAGTTGATAAATGTAAACGACCAGCTACTTTACATTCATTCTGAAAATGTCTTGATGATTTTTTTTATGTGTGCTATCATGCTGACTTTTGTTCGTTTGTAAAACTAAAGAACCCATTACAGTTCTTAACTCTCTTACTGCTGTAGATAGAAACTAGACATGCGCTCTTAAAATATTTGTTTATTTATCAACATAGTAAATGTATACGAGAGTAGAATCCTAATAACATTTGGACGGAAATAAACAATATATATATATAATACGTATGAGAATATTAAAACATTTCCATTAATAATTTGTGTGTTTTAGAAAAGAAAATTATGATAACAAAGTAAAAACGAAATCAGTCCTACGTCTATTCCCTGATGAAAACTTCTTCATGTTTTAAGAACAAATCAATTGAGTGATTAGGTAATGATTGGCGTTTTCTGTTCTTATTTCAAGAGTATTTAGGTTATAGCTTTTGTACGTCTGTAATCTGCTTAATACCGGTTCATCTCCGATGAAACATTGCCTTAACAAAAGTACTCATATGTCATTTTATGACACGAGATGACGCCACCTGTACGATAAACAGGTTAACATTGAATTTTTCGTGTTGTCATCGCTTTCACAAATATTTTACGAATAAAAATTCCTTCCTATATTATCCGTATTGTCTTTTATGTTTGGTGACTTCAGATTTTATCACGTTATTTTATTAAATTATTTTTACCATGTTTATTAAGAGATTAAAATGTATTTTCATTAAACTCTCTGAGAGAAAAATATAATATTATTAAAATAGTATTTTATAAAAATATATTATCAGAGATAAACCCGTGTAATTTGTTGCTACTGTTTGAAAGGCTGAAGTAGCGGAACATGAAGGATAGAGAATATGATACATATTTCATCTCACACGACATTCTTAAAGTAATTATATATATAACATTTCACATTTATTTATTTCTCTATGTTTTTCCTTTGCATGTATTTGGATTCCATTTTAAGATATGACATTTATTTATTTCTCTATGTTTTTCCTTTGCATGTATTTGGATTACATTTTAAGATATGACATTTATTTATTTCTCTATGTTTTTTCTTTGCATGTATTTGGATTACATTTTAAGATATGACATTTATTTATTTCTCTATGTTTT